CTCTCCATGATTTTTTTTATGATGTCTATTTTTTTAATTTTGATTTTATTTAAAAGATTAAAAATAAAATAGTTAAAATTTACAATCCTAGTCAAAAAAGATCCAAATATATTTAATCATATTTAAAAAATAATAATATGCATAGATACATACACAAACATATATAAGTGCCTAGGGGTGGGGATTGGGGGGCTTGTAGAGATGAAAATTTCCTCATCCTCATTCCTATAGGGAAAAAATCATCCCCATCCTGCCCCTATAAGTGGGATGGTAAGGCTAAGTGTGGTGGTCTCCTCAAAGGACAAAGAAAGGCCGAATTGTTGTTTGTGTAGTAAAGGTAAACAAGGGTCTCAGAGTAGGCAAGATCGTGTATTGATCACGGTTTATTCATCTTTTTCATAAGGGGAGACCCGAGGCCTTGAAGGGAATGAGCCAAAAGAAGTTTGATTTCTATTTGGAAAGAAGATCTTTGATTTGATGTCAGTTGTCAGGAGGATACTGCAGGGGGTTCGCCACATGTCGCATGAGATCTTCTTAGGACGAAGTTTTCTTTTGTCCAATGATTCTCATGATGCATGTGCGCTACTTCCCCTTATGGGTCTCCTGTATTGACATAGATGATGTCAAAGCTAATCTGACGTGTTTCGCTTCATTTGTTGGGTGTCTTGTCATGAGTGACTTTGGCTTGCTTAAATCGTGCGATGGTTCTTTAGTCCATCGTAGGTCCGCAATGGCTTTGATTTCATCACAAACCTATGATGGGTTATGGACTCATTGCAGCCCCTTGGTGGCTTTCGTGTCGTCATAGGCATTTATGCCGTTTTGGTTTGATGCCTTCATCGCGATCATAGACATAGGGAACCACATGTACTTACAACCCCCAATTGGGGTGAGTTGCGTAAGGATTGAGGAAATGGGGGAAGTTGTCATTCTTATTTTTTTGTACTTTTTCCAAACTAAGCCCTTCTTTTGTACCACTTATTTTAAATACTTATTTGAATAAATAAGTACTTAAAATAAGTGGTGGGACCACACAACAATGGTAAATAAACACTTATTCATGTTTGGTGGAAAATGAGTGAATGACGAATGGTGTCTATTTTCAAAACATGTACTTAAAAAAAAAAAACAACCCAGGGACTACTTATTTTAAGAGCTTATTCAATAAGCACTTATTCCAATTTTGGGGACAAAACTGTCCCCATCATATTTTTTTTCAAAAATCCCATCGAGTGCCCCTGATTTAGAGACTTCATTTGAGCTCCAACACGAATAAGTGCTGACAACAAGCGACTTGGCTCAGAAATCGTTCCATGCAAATGCATGAATCTCCCATATTTTTCTCCATTATTTTTTTGTAAGCTTCATTTTGTGCAACTCTTCATGGTTATAATTATCATTTCCACAAATATAAGTAATTATTGGTTAAGCAGCTCACCAACACCTTAACTTAAATGAGTACTTAAAATAAGTCTAAGTGGTTTAAAAAAGGACTTTCCGAACATTAATAAATGCTTATTAAAATAAGTAATTATTTCTCAAACCAATTATTTGCCAAATATAACCTAAGCCTAAATAGTTTTTTTTTTTTTTTGAGTGTAGGGATGGTTAAACTAGAAAAAAGGAAAAAAAAGGGAATGGGCTTACTAGTCAGCTGGTTGTTAAGCAAGCTTTATTACATGGCACAAGAATATTAAACATGGCAACATTTTCTTGGTAGGAAAATGGACTATACAACACTGGATAACCTTCCCCTCAAACCATTGTGAATTGTGAAAGGTGGAAGGTGGAACACGATCCGAGTTCGGATCAGGCGATTAGCTACCAACTCAATTTCAGCAACGCCCCAACAAGCCATTGCAGCCGCACTGCAATGGCCTATAGGGACAGTGTTGACAGCATTTTGTTGGTAGCAAATACCTACCCACTCAACCCTAGGTCCTTGTTACAATCAGTTAGATACTTTACTTGAAAGTTGGTGCACCTTCCAACATATTTGAGTCCCAATCTCCTACCAACACCTTACCCACAATACACTGCAGTTACATTCGGTATATTGCCATTCATAAAAATGTTTCCAACGTGCAGTCCTAGTGTTTTGTGGGTAGCAGATTTTGGCTCATTTGTGCCAAAATTGGGCAGGAATTGCCTTTTTCCCAACATTTTTTTGGGTAAAAAATTTGAACCCAAAAACATTGTCATATTTTCAACTAAAATATTATTAGCAGTATAACTGTTTTTAATACCATGTGTAATTGTTACGTATAACGATGACTAATTGTGTGGCAGGTGTATCTGCACACATAAGAGGACAGAGATGAATATAATCGGGAAAGGAAAAAAATGTTGTGAGTGTCAATGGAACTGGTTAAGCAATCAATCTGCCTTACCCTCTATTGAGAAAAGTTTGGCCAATCGGACCAATTTGATAGTCGGGTTGGAGAGTTTTCCATCTGAAATCAACCAATTATTAGTGAAAATCAGTTAACTCAGGTTATATTAATTTGGTTGGTCAATTCAAAGCAACCCAAGACTAATTTGTTAAACTAGAATACATGGTTTGATTGGATAAAAAATTAAAATCAACAAAGTTAATTAATAATTGTAGTGATATTATTAAAAACTAATCTTAAAAAATTAAATTTAAAATATAAAATATGATGATACTATTCTCACTTTTTATATTAAAAAATTAAATTTTAAATATAAAATATTAATACATATCTATAGTCGAGTCTTGATTGATTTTAGTTGATTTACACATAATCAAACCAAAACCGAATCGACTTCTCAAATTAACATAAAGCCATGTAACTTCTGAAACCGTTGTGGTTTCTCTAAAACCGTTCCCTCTCTCTCTGTTTAGAGAGAGCTTCCCTCTCGAGTTTCTCGAGGTTTTCTCAATCTCTCTGTTCGGCGTCTGCTTTCCATCCTAGAAATTTCTTTTGGGGTGGCTCCCTTCGAGGAGTCCCCTTTCCATTATCCTCTCTTCTCTTTTCTTGTTTTTTTTTTCTCTTTTTATCGTTTATTTCCTTCCCTCTTCCCTTGCTTTCATTCTTCGTTCTTCTTCCCATCTGGTTCTCTCCTTTCTTCCCACTGTTCTTCCTCCCATTTATTTCCATCGCCTTTTCCATTTGGTTTTCTCCATTATTCGCCTCTTTTTGTGCTTTTTTTTTCCTTTTTCCTTTTTCCTTTTTCATTCTTCGTTTTTTTTTTCCATTTGGTTTTCGATACTGGTGGATATTGCTTTACGTTTGACCGTCCATGGTTCAGTTCATTCATAGTTCTCTGGTAGATGCACTTCATGTCAGTTCTGTTTGCAATTCTCCAATGGATGCAATTATGGAAGGCAATTCCAATCTTTGGTAGCAATTGTAATGCTCAGGGCTCTGCCGTCTTTTACGGATCTACCCCAACTATATTATTACCGTCTCTTTGCAGTCTCTTTTGGAACCTCTCTTTGTCACTTCTCTCACTTGGTGGATTGGAGTTGTGCTTATCTACTTCTGTTGGTGAGTTTAAATTCACCTTTGTTTGATTGCAAAAGTTCATTATGTTCTCATTGGCCTTATTTGGCAATTCTTTATAGTTGTATCAATTTCTTGAATGAAACATGCTTTAAGCTTTTAAAAAGGGGTTTTTATGATTCAGTCCACCCTAGAAAATCATAACTCCGCCTAAGGATGGAAGGGAGTGCAGTCCAAAAATGCCTTGAAAAAATTAATATAATGCATGAACAAAAACTAACAGAAAATAGTTAAAAACCAACAACTCACGTCTAATTAGATCGGGTTGGTAGAATCGGTGTTTATGAACAGCCATAAGTTTGGTATTAGTCATGTCAACTGGTAATGACCTCATGGGTTGGAGTTCTGGTATATGCCATGGATTTTATATATTTAAATATTAAGTGTTTTAATCCTTCATTTTATATTAATTTAATTATTTCTTAATTAATACTTCACATATCTTATATCGCATCCGGTCCATTCATGGCCGGGGCGGGTTCAGGGCATCAAGTTGGATCGGGTCTGCTTTAAATCTCATCCATACCGAACCCACCCGTTGTCATCCGAATCTTTACTTAACATTAGGAATACATTCATATCAAAAATTGGGAAGTGCCCAAATCACTTTCCTAAATTAATTTTGCCTTTTACCTTCTTAAGGTAAAGTCTCCCTTCTTCTTGTAGAAGGAGAAACCCAAAATCCTAGCAAAAAAAGTCGGAAAAAAACTTCCCTACTTTACCGTGAAGAGCGTAAACGGATGCCCAAAAAGCAGAATTTACTTTTTCACTGTGGAAAAAAAAATCTAATTTAATTCCACCAAAATCTTGTCCTTTTTGGTAAAATTCTTTCTCCCACATGGGCCATGTGCCCCCCACCATACATTTGTTCCATAATTAGAACAACGAGGATATGTAATATGTTATTTGTTTTTACTAGGAACGATTAAATGTAACGCAGCCCACGGTACTATCATAATCATCTGTTTTGAAATACAAGGACTACTACAAGACGAACATTCACCGAACGGTGATCCCAAGTGGTGAATCCATACCTATTTTTATTTGATTAATTGAATAAATAAATAAAAAATAAAAATAAAGGCTATTTTGGGAAGACCGAATACGGTTGTTGGACTCGGACCAGTGGTCGTGTGAGCGTGAACTACCGCGACAGGTGTCAAACATAGAGCGAAGAAATAGGAGTAAATATAGACCGATGCGAAGATCCGAAAGGCCGAAAATAGACCCGGAAATAAAGAAAGAAAGAAAGAAGGAAGAGTCCATTTACTAACCTCTGAGTACATTTTTTTTTTCGTTTTCTGTCAAAGCGGTTGAACCATACGTGACTTTCCTTGTATTTATTTTATTTTTTTAATGGAGTAAATAAAAAAGGTTAAAATTTATTTTAAATTTTAATAAATATAAAATAAAATATAATTTTGAGTTGTACCCGCCAAGTACATGCTCCACCATTTAGTGCAGTTAGTTTATCCAGAGAAGGAACGATCGTCGTGCCCTAACCCGCTGAGAGGAGAGGAGAGATACATCCAACTTCCTCCCTTTCTGGCTTTTCCAGAAAAAAAACTGAGAAGCAAAAGAGATACAGAAAGCTTTCTTTTTTTTTTTTCGTTTCTCCTCTGTATCTGTATCTGCTCTCTGCTGTTTTCGTTCCCGTTAGGTTGTTACTACTCTTTTTCTTCTTCTTTTTTTGAATTCCAAGTCAGATAAAGAGAAAAAGAAACTTTCTGGTGGTCTCTATTTTCGGTTCGTGGTAGCTTATTAATTTCGTTGTCGTTCGTGGTTATTTTTCGTTGTTGTGTCATTGATAGAAGCAGGAAGGAGTAGAAGGGATAAACATGGGAGACAAAGCTGAAATTCTGGAGGCTGTGTTGAAGGAGGCTGTAGATTTGGTACTAGATCTAGACTGCGTGCCTATTCACTGTTTTGATTATGGCAAGTGTGGGTTGCTGATTCGTGTTTTCGCCCTGGATTGAACTTGTGATTGCAGGAAAACATACCGATTGAAGAGGTTTTTGAGAACTTGAGATGTAGCAAGGATGGTCTCACAACCGAGGCTGCGCAGGAGAGATTGGCTATTTTCGGACACAATAAGCTTGAGGAGAAAAAGGTTATCTACTACCTCTATTCTCCCCTTCTCCTCTTCTTACTCAACGTTCTACTTGTTTTTCACCGTAATTCAAGATGCTATCGGTTTCATCTTCTTCTTTCTTTTTGTTGTTCTGCTTCAGGAGAGTAAGGTCTTGAAGTTCTTAGGGTTTATGTGGAATCCCCTGTCATGGGTCATGGAAGCTGCTGCCATTATGGCTATTGCTCTTGCCAATGGAGGAGTGAGCATTAATTTTCTTGCTTTCCTTTTCATGGATTTTAGTTCTTATCATCGAGGATTCGTTCATTATTCTATATTGTCCCCTATCTTTTTCAGGGAAAGCCTCCTGACTGGCAGGATTTCGTGGGTATCATTACTCTACTTGTTATCAACTCCACCATCAGTTTCATTGAAGAAAACAACGCGGGTAATGCCGCTGCTGCTCTCATGGCTCGTCTTGCCCCCAAAGCCAAGGTCGTACTAGTGGCCGGAAGCAGTTTATTCCGTTGTTTCAGGATAACGTCATTATTTTTGTTCTTTCATGTTCGGCTGTGGGTGGTGGTTTCCCTTTATGTCTGAAATCCTTATTTATGTAGCGTTCAATGAACAATATTGCAGGTCCTCCGGGATGGAAGGTGGAGTGAGGAAGATGCTTCTATTCTTGTCCCAGGTGACATAATTAGTATTAAGCTAGGGGACATTATCCCTGCAGATGCTCGTCTCCTTGAAGGGGATCCGTTGAAAATCGACCAGGTGCTTCTGTAATTATTTTTGGTTTGTCTTCGTGATATTGAATTGATTGTATTGGGAACTCTTACATAAGCCATCCTTTGTTTCCTCAGTCTGCACTTACAGGGGAGTCTCTGCCTGTGACAAAAGGCCCAGGGGATGGTGTTTATTCTGGTTCAACATGTAAGCAAGGAGAGATAGAAGCGGTGGTTATTGCCACTGGTGTGCATACCTTCTTTGGAAAGGCTGCTCACCTTGTGGACACCACAAACCAAGTGGGTCACTTCCAAAAGGTAAGAAAGTGCAACCTTCTTCATCTGTGCTTCTTCCTGGTTGCTGATTTTAATTCTTGTTGGGTACATTGTAGGTCTTGACTGCAATTGGAAACTTCTGTATATGCTCCATTGCTGTTGGAATGATAGTAGAAATTATTGTCATGTATCCAATTCAAGACAGGAAATATCGTCCTGGAATTGACAATCTTCTGGTGCTTCTTATTGGAGGGATTCCTATTGCTATGCCCACCGTCCTATCAGTAACAATGGCAATCGGTTCTCACCGCTTATCCCAGCAGGTTGATCAATGACTACTTACTAGTGATATAACCATTTTAATTGGTTATTTCTGGTTGATAATGCTGAATACATGTACAATTATGTTATCATCTACAGGGAGCTATCACTAAGAGAATGACAGCAATAGAAGAAATGGCAGGCATGGATGTTCTTTGCAGTGATAAGACTGGAACTCTTACTTTGAACAAGCTAACAGTTGACAAGAATCTGATTGAGGTAGTAAGGGGTTGATTTAAGGATGCATGTCTAATTGAGAGCATACTTCATATCCATTTTCTAATCCTTCCCTTTGTCTTATTTACTCAGGTCTTCACGAAAGGAGTTCATGCTGATACTGTTGTGCTGATGGCAGCCCGAGCTTCACGAATTGAAAACCAGGATGCAATAGACACTGCTATAGTTGGGATGCTGGCTGACCCCAAGGAAGTAAGTTTGATTTATCATAGTGAGTTTACTTTTAGATATTAAAGTATATTGTTGTTTCTATTTGGTATATATATTTTTAATTTTTATCATGTTTACCACTGAAAGGCACGGGCTGGCATTCAAGAGGTTCACTTTCTGCCATTCAACCCAACTGATAAACGAACTGCTCTCACTTATATTGACAGTGAAGGCAAAATGCATAGAGTCAGCAAAGGTGCACCAGAGCAGGTATGTCCATCTTCACTCGTGTGTATTTTCATAGTTATTAGTTTATTGGTTGTTTATCCACATTCCTACCTGTGATGTGGTTTTCAGATTCTGAATCTTGTACACAATAAGTCAGAAATAGAGCGTAGAGTCCATGCTGTGATTGATAAATTTGCAGAACGAGGATTACGATCTCTTGCAGTGGCATACCAGGTGATAGATTAATTTATTTCCTGCTTTGCTGATCCTACTGTCCTATGGTGTTTATAACTCATTTTTTTCCTGTGTTTATTTGGCGGATTATTTTCTGATCTACAGGAAGTCCCGGATGGCAGGAAAGAGAGCTCAGGAGGTCCATGGCAGTTCATCGGTCTCTTGCCACTTTTTGACCCACCCCGACATGACAGCGCAGAGACAATAAGGAGGGCTCTTAACCTTGGAGTAAATGTTAAAATGATTACAGGTGGGTTTCTATCTTCTGATGCATGCATTTACCGTCTCATGTTTGGGAAGGCCTTTTTGATTGCCAAAATTAAGTTGGCTAGTTAAGTACATATTTTGTAAATAGAATATTGGCAAACACCCCCTAAGTTTTTTATGTTACGAACTTACAAGTTACAACTAGGAATCACTTGTAGGATTTTGCTAGCATCAGATGACCAAAAGAGTTTCAATGACAAAATTTAGATATTCTTTTGTCCCTCAAACCAACAACATAATCATAACCAATTTAGACCCTTTAAAGACTGAAAATGAAGAGTTTGAGTGCTATAGAAACTTCCCCAATGAGTAAATAATTCAACTAGTGAAAGATGTCTCAAGACTCCAAACCTCATGAAGGACTCCGAATTAAAGTAAAGAATAATTGCAAAATACCCTTGTTGCCAATAAGGTACAAACAGGAAAACCAGAAAGTAAATAACAACTAAATACCTTTTATTGTTGTTGACATTCTCTATCAATTCTTACACTGACTAAGGCTGATATTACAAAGGGCAGACCATCAAAAATGGTATAAGGGAAACCTTAGGTGTTTGGTCTTAATGGATCCAAAGGAAGAAATGACACTGCCAGTGTAAACTTGAGCATCTTGCTGAATAAGGGTTTGAGATGCTATTTCTACTAGGAAAAAAGAAAGTCTTATGCTTTCTTTTCTTACATAAGGAAATGGAGATTTGTCTGATCACTGAAATTGGGAGGGGAAAAGTTGGGTGCTGGAGATGAGGGTCTGGATCTTCAATCTCACCTCTTCATGTAGCACATTTAGTGGTCCCTTGTGGGCCCCATGCCAAATTTCTCAAGTTATGTTGATTTCTATTTCTTGTGTCTTTCCTTTTAATACATGCTGTTCTCTATTAATTGAAACATGACATCTTGGAAAGTATAAAAGGGATTGGATTTCTGGCTGATTTTTTTTTTGATAGGTAACAGAAATATTTCATTATATAGACAATAATATACAGGATTTCTGGCTGATAATAGAAAAAGTTTCATAATTGTTAATTTTTTATCACACATTTGCAAAAAGAAAGTGCACCCTTTGGTACATAGCTTTATTTTAACTATAACTCTATAATTTAATATTCACTTTTAAGAAAAAAATGTAATCATGAGTTAGCTTATTATTTGCATTAGCCTTTAAAATGGTTGTGTATGCCACTAATCATGGGGTTGCTTGATTGAATTTATATCATTTACTATTAAAAATGTAAAAGAAAACCGTATTTGGTTGCAATTTTATATTACAAATCATGCATTTTTTCATTAAATATTAATTATTGTACAGTTTTAATTCCAATATGGTTATTGCACAGTTTTAATTCCAATATGGTTGCATATATCTAGCTCAAGGTGAATAAAAAATCAGAGCTGGTTAATTCTGCTAGCTGTAAATTTTCCCTGCCTTGGCAAGTGCAATTTAATTGAACCATTTTTGATGACTTGATTGATGCCTGTCCCTAGCCCAAATGTTCTGGATTGTTTTTTTTTTTTTTTTTTGAATATCTTATATCATTCTCTTTTCTTTGTGCCATCTGAAATTGATCTTCTTTGTCATTTCTTGTATTTCAATTTCTAATGGATCCCTCAAAAGAAAGCACACACTGTTTTTATTTAATTAAGTTGGCTTTAAACTGTTAGCATGATTCTATTGCTTATTCCTTTTATTTTAATCAGGTGATCAATTGGCAATAGGAAAGGAAACAGGACGACGCCTGGGAATGGGCACCAATATGTACCCATCATCTGCTTTGTTGGGCCAGAACAAGGATGAGTCGATTGCTGCTTTGCCAGTTGATGAATTGATAGAGAAAGCTGATGGTTTTGCTGGTGTTTTTCCTGGTAGAGAAACGGGATTGTTAGATATGGTTGAGTACTTAATATATTCTCTCCGTGGTTATTTATCTTGATGGATTTGCTATTTCTTTGGTTCAGAGCACAAATATGAAATTGTAAAACGTTTGCAAGCAAGGAAACATATATGTGGAATGACTGGGGATGGAGTAAATGATGCACCTGCTCTTAAGAAGGCTGACATCGGGATAGCTGTAGCAGATGCCACTGATGCGGCTCGTAGTGCTTCTGATATTGTCCTGACAGAACCTGGACTTAGTGTAATCATCAGTGCAGTATTGACTAGTCGAGCAATCTTCCAGAGGATGAAAAACTATACGGTAATGCAGTTTAAGTCGTCAATGAAACCAACTTCCACAGAGGTTTAATTATTTTCCTTTTTTGATAAGTAACAGAATTTCATTTCCATTTTTATCAATAAAAGATCAGTTCTTGTTTAGTATATGAGCTCTTCTTGATGTTGCCCTTGCTTTCTTTTTTCTTCTTTGCAGATTTACGCAGTTTCTATAACTATTCGTATTGTGGTAGGTCATCAGAAAGTTGATTTTGGGGTTTCTTTCATGTAAATGACCTTTACAGACTATTCTTGCACTTTTTTTAATGACCCAATTTCTATTTACTTTCCCTTTTGACAGCTTGGTTTCATGTTACTGGCCCTTATCTGGAGGTTTGACTTCCCACCCTTCATGGTGCTCATCATTGCTATCCTCAATGATGGTTCGTCTCTCTCTCTCTCTCTCTCACACACACACACACACACACAGAAATACACAAACCCCACAATTCTCATCACCAGGCAAAGTAACCAAAAACTAAATAAAAAAAAAACTCAAAAGGAACAGTTGCATCCTTTTCTGTTATATTATTAAGTGGATCTATATAATTCTTCATGGTCTCCATAATTATGTTGAACTTGATAGCTGTTTGTTGTTGCTAATGAATTTCAGGTACCATAATGACCATATCGAAGGATAGGGTAAAACCATCTCCTTTGCCAGATAGCTGGAAGCTGGCTGAGATTTTTGCAACTGGCATAATTCTTGGTAGTTACTTGGCGATGATGACAGTTATTTTCTTTTGGGCAGCATACAAAACAGACTTCTTCCCGGTATGCAGATCTGATCTCTGGATAGATCGATAGAAAAGGAAAGAAATGCAGCCAAGTCAATTTTGTTTAGTGGCATGCATATTATATGAAAATATTTTTCTAGACATTGGTTGCTGTTTATATATTGTATTTCTCTTCAAATATCATGGCACATTCAATAAAGTTTGCTTTGCACAAGAGGAGACATTAAATCAACATTCTAGATTCAATAATAATATTATTATCATTTTGTAGATAAAATGTAACACAAATGATTAATATTTAGTATTGGCCCTGTGCACACAGACGCATATTATGCTGTTAAATCGCCTTTGTTGTTGGAGTTAATATGTTCCTTGGTTGATTTGCCAGAAACATTTTGGGGTTTCAACCCTCCAAAAAGAAGCTCATGATGATTTCAGAAAGCTTGCCTCAGCCATATATCTACAAGTGAGCACCATCAGTCAGGCCCTCATATTTGTGACACGATCTCGGAGTTGGTCTTTTGTGGAACGCCCTGGTTTGTTGCTTGTTGTGGCCTTCGTGGTTGCTCAACTGGTTGGTGAACATATTCCTTTGTTTGCAGGCTGTTGATGATTTCCTTCGTTGGAATTCCCTTACTTTTAATTTGTTATTGCAGATAGCAACACTGATTGCAGTCTATGCCAATTGGGGGTTTGCTGCAATTGAAGGGATTGGATGGGGTTGGGCTGGTATTGTTTGGCTTTACAATATCATTGTCTACATCCCACTTGATGTCATAAAGTTCATCATCAGATATGCTCTGAGCGGGAGGGCTTGGGATCTCGTTATTGAACAGAGGGTATGGACAGTGATGTATCACTCTACTGGTGAGAGTAATTTAACCATATGATATGATCTCCTTACTTTGTTGGTCGAACTTCTCTGTATTGCAGATTGCCTTCACGAGACAGAAGGATTTTGGGAAGGAAGCACGTGAGCTTAAGTGGGCACATGCTCAGAGGACTCTTCATGGGCTACAGCCACCTGACACAAAGATGTTCAGTGAACGCACCACTTTTACAGAACTCAATCAGATGGCTGAAGAGGCTAAAAGGAGAGCTGAGATTGCAAGGTAAGCATGATTTTTAAAACTGTTTTTTGGTGGAGTGATTTATCTTTTTCCTTTTTCCTTTTTCCTTTTTCCTTTTTCCTTTTTCCTTCCCATTTCCTTTCCATTTCTATTTGTCTATGCGGGGGTGGGGCAGTTGGCTTGGGATAATGGGGATGGTTTATGGGACCAGAAGCACACTGATTTATTTAACTTATCTTGACTCAATTGCAGACTAAGAGAACTCCACACATTGAAAGGTCACGTGGAATCAGTGGTTAGATTAAAGGGCCTCGACATAGACACAATCCAGCAAGCATACACTGTCTGAGGTCAACTGCATGGCTCCCGTACTTTATATATAATTATATATATACTTATAGTAGTGCTTCTAGAGTAAAAGATGTAATCAATCCTCCGCCATTCCCCGCATCCTCATAATATCATCACCCTAGAGAGAACTTTCTGTTATTGTGCCTGAGCATTATGCGTTAATTTAGGAAGTGTGAATGTGTTAGTTGGTCCCCGTTTTTCTTATTTTCTTGTTCTTCACGTTTCCCTGCCCTTCCTGCTCCATAATGGGAGAAAGAAAGTGCCCAAGGGGATAGGTATGTCTTGGCATTTTTATGTCTATATGAGCAAGCTCTTCTTTATTTTTGGCATTCTACTAGTTGTCTGTTACTCTTGTGCTACCTCCCTCCTGAGTCGTTCATTCATTTCTAAGGCATGCTGATTGTAATTTACTTATTTATGGATGACCATTGAGGCATTGACAGCAGACACGGGGGACAACTATTCTTCTAAATTAGGCAATAATCTTAGTTTTACTTTTGCATTGATCTAGAATGTAGTCTTCTATGCTAGAGCACCCATGCGTATTTGTTGTATCAGCGAAAGTATGTATCATTTTTGGAACTCAACCAAGATTGGCTGCACTGCACTGCTGGGAACAAAAGTGGTTCAACCAAAAATAAGATATAATAAGATATTTTTTAGATTTACAATGATATTACAGGGTCTTTGCTTCACAAATTTTAGGCAGCATTTGATGTGGTTGGTTCAGGCCTTGTTCTTACCTTTTAGGCCCTGTTCATTTTTCGGTAAGTCACTTGCCCGGGAAACATTTACCTGTGTAAGTAAATTTATCCATGCTCTTTTATTTCTTAGGTAAATAATATAATGACCATTTTAGCCATAAAAATTTCATTATCAAAAGGGGCATTTTTTGGCCTATCTGAGTGTTGGTAACTTTCATCCCGATGAGAAAGTTAATTTATTCATCTAGGAGATGGGTATCACTTACCAAGTTATTAGGAAAATAAATTCTCTGGTACCAACATAAACTTAAAAAAAAGAACATGTATGGTTGTATGGTTACCAAGGATCAATGGGTGTTGGTCTGGTTTAGACTGTGTTGGGACCGACCTGGATTTGGAGGCATGACATTTCTTACTGTAAAGGCCTGTTTGATTTGTGGGAATAGGGGTCTGGAATCAGAATTGGAATGGGCTATTTTGATTCCCAATCCTAGTGGAATGTCATTCTTTTGAGGGAATGGTCATTCCCTCTGCCCTTGGTAGTGAAATTTCATTTCAGTTTATTCCAATTCCAATTGCCATTCCCATTTTTGTTTGAACCAAACAGTGAACAGATCATGGGAGTAGACTATTTTGTTTCTGATTGAGGGATTTTAATTCCATTTCAGATTTGGATTGAATGTGAACCAAATGGGCCGTAAATTTAGCTGGTGTAAATCACCTGATTCCATCCCATTCGATTCTTGCCGTAAACGGAAACTTTTGTCCTAATCCATCGTGGGATTTCTGTGCTGCGGCTGCTGGATTCAATATTGTCAAGGTGCGTTTGGTTGTCAAGAAATGGATGGGAAGTATCTTCGGGAATATTCAATATCATAGGTGTTTGTATCAAAGGAAAATCTGGGAAAGGAAGAGAAAGATGAGGGATGCGGGTTCTTAAAATTCAATATGTGGGGCCACACTGGAATGGTGAGACCCCGTTTAGAAAAGGAAACAAAGTCAAGTTGTGAGAAAATATTGTCGAGAGTGATTGTATCAGATACCGTCTTCTTCCTACCTGCTGTTCAGCGTTAACATCTCCGGCACCATCTCCAGCGTTTTCTTTCAAAGGTAAGCTTAGATCCAGCATTCTCATGATTTTTGTTCATTTTTTGTCTTGTTTCGTTGAATGAGCTCCCCTCCAAGTCTTACCGCTGTCTTCCTCCATCATTGGTCGTCCTAACCAATTTCCATTGATAGAACATGTTTGATCTATTCTTCAAGGGATGGTTCATTTTAGCGTTGGAATTATATCGCTGTCACCATCTATTGATCCATTCCCATTTGTTAAATGAAATATGAATGATGTCATTCTTGATTTCAAGAAATAAATTCATTTCCATTTTCTTCTTTCTCAACTGTATTGAGTACATTTCAAGTGATGATTGATGAAGGTGTGACTTGTGAGTTCAATTCCATTTCCATTTTTTTTGGACTTATTAAAATTTTTACGTTAATTTATTGAACTAAGATGATTTTGTAGGAAAAAAATAATAATAAGAATTAAAATAACCATGCAAACCTACGTGCCTGTATTTTGAGATAGGCATATAGATGGATAGTTCTCTCAGATCAAGTCAAACTCAATGATTTGGGAAGGATTTATTAGCAATTTAATTTTCTTTACTTGTATAAAAAATACAGCAAAAAGAGTCCAAAGTTCTTATCCAGTGTTTCTCAAAAAACGAACAGATGAAAATGAATTTTGGTCATACTGTTTCTTGGGAAATAAACACTGAATGCAAAACTAGGAAAAATATAGATCATTTTGTGATTTTTCTCTCCGTTGGCAAGGGGTCTATCCAATAAAGTTTGGTGAAAAAAAATCTTGGGTGACTCATTTCAAGGTTTCTTTTGGTGAAGTGATTGACGTATGGTACACTTCATTTAACCATTTGAGGTTGGTGAATGAAAATAGGAGTGGCAGTTACTGGGAAAAACCATGGCATTTTGGGAGCTTCCTGCGCATGACATGTGGAAGCTTCCAAACTTACAATCAGCCAAAGTTTTGCAGCAGCAGCAACTGACCTAAACGAGATCACATCTCCGCCCCACAATGCCCCACTGCACATTCCTGCTGTGTATTGAGAACATTTCCTGATGATAGTACCAGGAAGATGTTTCCAATACACAGCAGGAATGTACTGTGGGGCGGAGATGTGAATTCGACCAAAACCAAACATGACCATTAGCCAATTTGAATTGACGAGTTACATGTTTGCATAAAATGGGTCTGGTTTGAATTGGGTTGGTACTCAACCTGTACACTGTACTCAAAGAATTCAAGAAAGGAGCCACGCTACCCAGTGAGCACACAAATTTACTTGTTGTATGCCTTTGAAATACATGATGTAAGATAGATTTTGTAAGAACTTGTGTGCTAAAGAGTTTACACTTTTCTTGAAAAATTTAATTACAAGGCTCAGTTTGAAAAGAGTACAAATGTAAATATGTATAATATAAATACAAACAAAATAATACAAAATACAAAATCTTACACTCTACATATTTGCATTTGTATTCCTTCCAAACATAATCAAACTGATCCCTGAATTAGTTCATAAAAAAAAAAAAAAACTGATCCTGAATTACGTTCCAAGTCCCGGATCTTTAAAACCATTGTAATTATAATTCAATGAGTAACGAGTTTATTACTTTACTTTCAGTCTGGTTCTGATGATATTGGATTTTGTCATCGATTGATTAAAAAAATTTTAAGTGGTTTGGCCCTAGGTTCTTTTATTTATTATTATTTATTAATAATACATTATATATATGATTAATATAAAATTTTAGGTTTTTCTATTGTACTATACAAATTGCAGCTATGGGCCTTTCATTCTTTCATTTATTTTTTCTTTCATATTTCTCTTTACAACATACTAATGTGAGATCGTGCGCTATGTGTGAATAAATATTAAGGAATTTGGACTAACTTTTATATACTGTACATAATCAATCGCAAGTATCCCATTTATTTGGTATAGAGAAATATGGTAAAGGAAGAATTCAGATTTATTCCTCAGAGTGCACTCATCCAACCAACTCAAAGCACTTGCAACTGCACTTTGGGAACATCTCCCATACAGTTAAAATCTGTATATGTATGTTTTCATTCACGGAGAGATGTTATCAATGCACGGCTGTAACATGTTATGAGGTTGGTGTGAGAAGTGAATCCGAATTCATAAAGTAATTGCCTCTTCATGGCCACGTCAAAACCCTGATCCCTCATCGGCGGGAGATAAACAAAGAAACAATAACCACCATTTTTTGCACGTAGATGAGGAAAACATAATATTTCTGTCTTTATAAGTAACTAGCGGAGGAGCCCTGTGTTGCGGGGCTTGCAAAAAGGTAAATTATTATTTTTTTTTACTTATAAGTGTGCTTAACCAAACAAATAAAACTAAACATAAAAATAACAAACTAAACCAATTTGAAGCCCATCATATTAACGGTAATCAACTAACCACTTCCAAAAAAGAAAAAAATCATGCCAATGATATTTTTTATGGGTAATCATTGGTTAAATAATTTAGTAAAATAAGTAGATAAATAAATAAAAGTTTATTTATTATTGGGATGGGATTGTTACTGTCTATCTCAAACCAAACCCAATCCATGACAATCCTAAATATTGGGCTGAGAGAGAGAGAGAGAAGCTCATTTATTATTGGGATGGGATAGGTATAGGCTATCCCAACAAGACATGTTCATTGGTCGAGTAGCCCGACGACCCGACCCAACCTGGCCTGACCCACTCTTGGTCAGGCTTGGACAACAATTTAGGTCCACGAGCTCGAATCGGGCCAAAAACACAAGCTCGGCTTTTTTTGGGCTAAGCTCGGGCTTTCTCGAAAGAACTCGGCCCAAGCCTGAGCTTGAAAAGAAAATATTTTTATTTAATAAAAATATATTTTATATAACAAAACTATATTTTAAGTCAATTTAATATAAATAAATCAATTTTATTGTTAAATAAAGAATAAAATTCTTTTTTTTTCTTAATTTCCTGGTTGGGCTTTATGCTTTATATGAGGATCAGGCTCGAGCTTGGGCCTAAATATGTTCTATTGGTATAAAGGCAAAGCTTGGCACGAATTGCCTATGAACAACTCTAATCCCAATCCAGACCTAACTTGTTGACAACCTTAAATATTAGGCTTGGGGAGAGAGAAAGAGAAATAATTTGTTAGTAAAATAAATTATTAATTAATTAAATAATTTAGTAAAATAAATAAATAAAAATCAATGAATTATAATTTGCTTAGCTTTGTAAAATAAATAAATGAATAATATAATATAATAAATGTTCATTTATACTAGTCCAAGCTATCTAGAATCAAGTCCGACCCATTGACAACCCTAAATAGTGGGCTTGGGTTGAATTAAATAAATAAAGTTTTATGAATAAAATTTATTAAAATAAATAAATAAATAATTTAATTTAACAAAATAAATAAATAAGTTTCATGGACTGGTGTATGCTATCTAGAACCCAAACCCGACACGTTGACAAACCTAAATATCAGGCTCGGGGAGGGAGAGAGAGATTGCTAATAAAATTTATGAACTTAATAAAGATGATTTTAACGAATATTTATTAATAACATTATTATACATAGATGTTTAGCTACAAATATGAAAGAGTGAGAAGACAAAGAATGTTATCATTACTTCTATTGGAAGGCAGTTATCGTTACTTTTGTTTTAACGGGTGTCTTGTAAATAAGATGATATGATATTTTGCATTTATTGATGCATGTGTTAAGGTAGAGAGAGAGAGATACTTAGTGTGGAGCAGATCATGATATCGTCTCTGAGGAGCTCGCATCCTCTGCAATCAGGATGCAGAAAACTTTCTGCATAACAAATAGAAAATTGCCATGTTAACTTTTGAAATTCTAACTTAACGGAGTCCATACTTAAAGGGAGTCTGGACTCTATAAACATTTGAATTTTATTACCCGCTCTTCACACTCCCCTCATCATTTTCTCTCCCCTGGCTCTCCGGTTCTTCTCTCTCCCTCCTCCACTATTTCTTCTTCCACCGGTTGTTGCCATTGAATTGAATCAGGCACAACATTAACTCTCTCTCTCTCTCTCCTCTTTTTTTCCTCTCTTTTCACGCCACAACGAATCGATTAGAAGGCACTTAGTTTATTGACAATATATGATCAAACTAAGCAATAGGTTTTATAGCACCACAAAACTTGCCCTTATTCAATGGAGAGATACCTCGGAATCCACAAGGCTCAACAACTTTTGGCTGGAGCTGAAGGAGAGTCTTTCTCAACACAATTTGATTTGTCTAGACTAGGATTCTCGGGATTATTTATCATTTTCAGAGCTACTTTTAGAGTGGAAACTGTCAGCAAAGGATAGGAAATATTTGTCTTTGGGGACCAACATCCATGTGCAGTCTTCACACTTCATCCCTCCAAACTTTTAACAAGTGGAAAAGAATCCCCCTTTGACAAATGGCCTTAGAATGGATAGACTTGAATGATATTTGATTCAGCTGAATTTGTTGATCTATTTGAAGATTGTTTTTCTTTGTCTTCAGATATTACTGTTAATAATATGGACTCATATGGTTTGCTTTATTTCATTGAGAACCTTTCTTGGGCAATTGAGGCATTCACATTTGGTGAGGCCCATAGGGTTATTGTTGCCCAAGGAAGTGATCTTTCTGCTATTATGTTTAATTAGTTATTAATTTTTTAATTTTTCTTTTGAATCGATTCTCTCCTCTCCTCTTCTTCATTGACCCGTTTTCATGGGATCAGTTGCAACTCCAGAGTTCAAAAAGAAGGGATGAAGCATCAGAAAAGAATAGATAAAGAGATGAAGGGAATGGTGGTTTCAGTGGTTCAGGCTGCAAAAAATTTCTGTGAGAGAGCTGCTGGAGAAAGAAATAGCAGGGAGAAACATGTGTGGAAAAACAGCTGCCGACGGTTGCAGTGGTTCGGGGCTTTTGGGTGGTGATTGTTCGGTTGGAGAATAACGAAGCAAGGGGAAGAGAGAGGGAGAGAAGCGCAAGAGAAAAGAAAGACATATAGGAGAAAGGTGGGTTAATAAGATTCAATTTCTTTTGAGTCCAGACTTCCATCACAGTTGCTGACGTGGCCATTTGTTATTTGTAGGTGCAAAATTTATTCTGCATCCTAGGCCCTGTTTGGCAATGTTCCCACCTGTTCTTATTTTTTTAGAAATTTCTGTGTTAGAACAAGAATTTTATTTCTTGTTCATCAAGAGTAATAGAGGCGTTAGGTAAAATGTTTTACGAGATGTATTTTTATTCTACAGAAATAGAAATGGCGTTCGGATAACGAATTCAAATGAAAAGAAACCCACTCAATCGACATAATAGAAACCTCGCATCTCAAGATATCTAACAAAGTAAAAAAAATAATATGAACAAACAAATTCAGATGATGGAAACTCGACATCTGTTAGAGATGATTGTTGTCAGAGATTAGTTTGGGTGAATCTAGCTAGAGCAATGACGAACAAACTAGGTAAAACGAGAAGGAACACACCTACTTGTTCACATGAATCTAGCCGAAAATGTTGCCGGAGCTTTGTACTGTTCACTTGCCGTCCGGTTGTTGACGCAACAGGAGCCAAGGGAGTTCCTCAATTCCCTCCTTTGAGATGTGTGGCGACAATGAGGTAGTGTCAAATGAATGAAAGGTGGTTGTTTCTATCATTTCGCATGAAATACTAAACATACCCCTTATTTCACGTGGGAATCGATGTCACATATTCGTTAATAAGCATTAACTTTGTGAGAACTGCACGTTCTTTGAAAGTGTTGATTTATCACTCTCAAAGAATATGTTCTTTGGGTGTTGTTCTCATGCGAGAATAACTTGTTTCTTTCATTTTTTATGAGGGTGTTTGGTTCTGTTTACGTTTATGAATGGCCGTTTATTTGTGTTTTTTCACTTTAAATATTTATTTATATTTTTTTACTTTAAACATTTATTGTTTTTGTTGTTTGGTTGGGCTTTACTTTAAACGTTTTTTATTCTCCACCACAGATTAATACCCATTAAAGTGTGACACATCAGCATTTGGTTTCAAGAAACGTTAGGGGAAACAAGAATTTGGCATTTCTCCAAATGCCCCATGCACAAAAATCAAAGCATTCCCTATCCATAAATATCTACGGAACCAAACACATACTATGTCAAATGTGTTCCTGTTCTGAAAAAACATCGAAAACCATAGAAACATTCTCACGAAACGTTACCAAATAAGGCCCTAAATGCGGAGGAACTGAATCTCCTTGCATTTTGAAAGGGATATATATATAACCAAAAACACTTCCGTATTTTATAAAAAAAAAAAAAACGTAACAGCGATAAACTCAAGAAAACGAAACACACCGAACCCGAAGACAGATAGACTGACTGTACCTCTTAATTATTTAGGCTTAAACATTGGTATTGATGGGCTGGTCACGTTAGACAAGCATCAAAGAAACAAATTACAAGCAAATCTCTAGCCTCTAGGCAGCTCATCACGTAACATGGGCATGGGCCCTTTGTTTAAGTCAGCCGACCTCTTGTTTATTTGGGTGATACGGTATTGATTGATGGGCTAGGCACGTGAGATAGGATGGGTTTTAGTAGGCTTGAACATGGGCTTGGGCCCTTTGTTTGAGGATCTTCTTCTCCAGTTCATCTTTCTTGGCACCCACAACCTTGTCAACTTCTTTCCCTTGTTTTATCAGTATGAAAGTTGGCATCGTCTGCACCCCAAATTCTGCTGATACCTCCTGATCAAATTAAAAGAAGAAAAACCCTAGAATCAGCACCTATTCAATACTCAGACGCGATGGAGAGGTGAAAGTGAAAGAGTGAGAGAGAATACCATCAATTCATCCGCATCGATCTTGACAAACTCCACGTCTGTGTATTTGGCAGCGAAACTGTTGAGTGCTGGCTCCATGGATCGACAAGGCCCGCACCACGACGCCGTGAAATAGATCACCATCTTCAGAGTTGGGAGGGAAAAAGAAAACGTAAGATCCCTTATCAGACTTCATACATAAATAGCTGGGAGAGAACCGTGTTTTTGTTTAGGGTAATTTAATTTACCAGCTTAGTGGAATTTTTGCAGGAGTCGAAGTGAGCTCTCCATCGGGCGGTGGAGTGGAATGCGACAATGCGAGACGCCTCAGACGGACCATTGCTGGGAGTGGCAGAGACCACACCATACATTCCAGAGTGAGCTGCGCCCATTTTTTTTTTTGATGATTGATCGATCTCTTTTTCTTTCTTTGAAAAATTCAAGCTCTCGTCGTTCGTCAAAGACTCAGCGACAAACGGACGATCGCAAGTAAGAAATGAGCCACCGAAGAAAGCTTGATGGTGTTGGTTGGGCGGGAGGAACCCTTTTTATAGGCGCGGATGTGAGTGGAAAATTCCTTTTTACATTAAATGATCAAATGAAAATTCAAAGAAAAGCATGAACCACAGGAGAATCAAACTCCAGTTGTTGACAGCATTTTATGTGGACAGTGGACTCTACTTTCTTTCCATCGCTGGAGAGGCTTTTTCTTTTCTTTCTTTCTTGTTTTTAAATTTGATGAGAGAGAGAGAGCATAAACGACGCTTTTGTTGAATTAAATTTGAAGCTAAGTGCTCAATGGATTCTTGTTATCTGTTTCTTCTAATACAGTATTTAATTAACGTGTTAACCGAGTCCATGAATAAAAGTAGAAAAGAATCTTTGTTCATGCTCGCTTGCTGAACTCTTTGTAATTTGTATTCTTCCCCTGACACTAGTGTACGTCGCAAGGAGGTCCACAAGCTACTATATGCTGAGTTAGGGAAAATAATTCCTTAACATTACCTTAATGGCTTAATCTTAAGCTTTGGGAGTTGTCTAGTAAGTCCCCGACGTGTCTAGTCAGTACCATAATTTTCAATATGTATTTAGCAGGTCTCTTACCATTAGTTGATTGTTAATGGCTAAGTGGAATGACCAAATTGCCCTTCACATTCCGTGTAAGAGAGATTTTTAGAAAACGATAGTATTGATTTCATCTAAAAATGGGTTTATGCATCAGAAAGATGCACTACGGCTATGTTCTGAAGGCTCAGTTTGGAATGGAAGGAGTACAAATGTAAATATGTACCGTCTATATATTTACATTTGTACTCCTTCCAAACTGAGCCAAAGTTGCAATGATCGCTGCCGGTGTGATTGCTCAAGTAAACACCATCGGAGACCACTTTCCGATAGTTTGAAGTCATCGTTGACGATTAATTGAACATTCTCCGGTCTGTGGTTACAAGGTTTTCTCTAGTGCAGTTGTTTAACGGGAAGAAATTAATATTAGTCCTTTACCGTCGTTGGAGAAGATACTAAACAATTGTCATCGCCGAAGAAGACAATAAGCCCTTGGACAACTTGATTTTTTAACAAAAATTTTTGCCCCATTGACTTGTTATGTTTTCTTTCTTTTTTTTTTTTCATTCGATAGATAACACCAAATTGTATTTTTCAGATCAGACTGTCTTTTTTTGTCCATTCGTTAGACATACAAAAATCCCATGGTTTTTTTGTCTTCTTCATTCTTGTTTTGTTGATATATGAAGTTTATTTTGATTTTCACTGTTTTTTTCTTCTGGTATGTTCCTTAGACATCTTCACTTTTTCATGATTTTCGGATAAGAGTAGCAATGTGTACATTGATAATCTTTTGGTATGCTGTTGTCTATGTGACTAGGGTTCAGATAGTGTCAGACTACTATTGGTTCATGCTGTTGTTGTTTCCATATTTAAATCTTATTTTAATTGATTAGTAGAATTTCTTACATATATATCCGAGATATTAATGTTAATGTATCTGGTGGTCCCCTGACCCCACCATGCGAATGGAATGTGCATTAACTTTTATCAATGGTGGTCCACGAGCTGAGTTTCATACCATTTCAACTTTGCTTCAATTAGCAATTTACCCTATATATTGAGTTTAAGCTCGACTTAAAAACTCGATTTTTATTAAACTAAATTGAGCATACTACAAGCTGAACTTGAATGGTTCATGAATAATTTCATTTATATCCACCACTAGGCCCTAATATAGTAACCTTTTATTGTTCGATCTATCAAGATTTGGTGAAGGTTTTGGGTGATACATGATGGTAGAGTGGCCATAGGCCCTTGTTTAATCCTCAACATGTTGGAATATTCAATGGCCATGTGATAAGCCACATGTTGATGGTTGATGGTTGATGGTTATCTCCATGCAACACTCTCACACACAATCATTCATTTTAAATAATTACCTATTTATTTATTTTCTATAAAAATAAATTTATTTGATTTCTTATTTAAAAACATTTTCATGCATGGAGATACCAATGTTGTTGGATTATTTGGATCCATATTCCAGCTCTTATTGGGTCAATGAATATCCATTTGACCCGGTGTATGGATGACCAAGTGGTTATATCCTTGGTCAACATGAGACACTTGTCTCAAATCTGATGGAGCATGAATTCTAATGTTAAGGAACACTTATCTCAATTGGTTATTTTGGTAACTATTTGTTCCTAGTGTCAAGGAACTTAACGTTGGAGAAGCAACTATATAAGGAATCACTCCCAAGTGCTTCAACAACACAATGAGATAAGTTCTTTATTGAGAAAGGAAAAATATCCTCTCAGCCTCAGCTCTGATCAGATTAAGCAGTTCTCTCTTATACCTTGTTTGAGAGGTTGGTGTCTCGGATCCTATACTGTGCAGCTGCTATTATTCTCTTTGCATGCAGGTTTGACACATAGAGATCTCAGTTGTTCGCTTTTGCATATACTTGGAGCATCAATGGTATCGGAGCACAACATCGACTGGCATAGTGTTTAAAGAATAGTCGCGCCACACCGAATCCTACCTCATCTTTTAAGATTCAGAGAAGGAGAGGAGAGAGAAAACAAAACCCACTTCGAGGGTTTCCTCTCTACATTTTTGCCTCTCTACTTGTCTCTCCCATTTGTGCACCCTTCGTTGCGAGAAAAGAACTAGTACGAGGGTTTCGTCTGGTCTCCACTGCGAAACCCCGTTTGACTTCCCATCTCTGAACAAACGGTGGCTCCGGCAACTCCGAGACAACAGAACCCAGTTCGAATTTTTTTTCACCTCCTCAAGTCCAACCATTGGCTTTTAACGACAATGGCTTCACTCATACGTTACTACAACCTCGAAAGCGTCACTGGTAGTTTGAGTTTTCTCAGATACATAAATGAAGAACTGCTCAAAGAACTATAGAAACGGTAGCTACTTTGATCTGAAGTGAGGCAAGAAACCCTAAATAAATTTAGGGCTTTTCACTATTTTCGTTCACTGCAAAACAGATCTGGTTAGATAAGGCACATTCGACCAGTGAGGCGAACCCAAACATCTCAAATAAGGTATTAGAGTTTTATATACATGCTTATTTCGCTCATTTCAATTTTTGATCATTTTTTTTCGTTGATTCATACATCTTATTGATCATTCACTGCCATTTTTTCTTGAGGATACCTCTTTTTTTTCGAACCACTTAGAAGCATCATTGTCGAATACCAAAGATGTTGATGAATTAGAAAAGAGCAGTGGGAGCTGGACAAATTATGTCTGCTGGATAACTCAACTGGCGATTAGTATATTTTGCGTAAACAACTAAGTACTCCATTTGCATTTACTTTATTTATTTATTTATTTTTGGCCTCCGAAATTGAATGACAGTCTCGTAAAAAACAACCGACTGATATTGCACTTGCTTTGTTTATATCTGGAATACTGTTGCTATTTTGAATCATGTCTGCTACTGCATTATCCCAAGAACTCAGTAAAGCTAAAAAACTAAATGGCACCAATTTTGCTCTCTGGAAACGTAGGATTAGAAGGATACTTGATGAAGAAAATGTTGATTATGTTTTAGATAAATCTATTACTGCTAAACCTGCTGATGATGATTCCTTAACTGTAATTCATGAATATCAAAAATGGGAAAAGGATAATAGGAAGGCAAGAAATTGCCTATTAATTTTTATGGAGCCTGACATAGAAGTTGTGTTTGAAGAATACAATAATGCTAAAGATATGTTTGAAGCCATTAAAGAAACATATGGAAAAATAACTGAAACCTATGTTCAATTGTTAATTGAAAAATATTATGACTGTGAAATGAGAGAAGATGATTCTATAGTAGATTATGTTAGTAAAATGAATGTGATTGCCAAAGAATTGGCAGCCACTGGGAACCCTATTCCTGAGAAAATTCAGGTCTCCACCATTCTTAATAGCCTCCCATCTTCTTGGAATTCTATAGTGACAACTTTAAACCTATCTGGAAGAGAAGTTAGCATAAAAAAACTTACCTACCTTATTAGGATTAGAGGCTGAGAGGAAGAGGAAGAAATCCCAAACTTCATCCTTAATGGTTATTCCCAAACCAACTAAAACTTCCCAAATGACTGAAAAGCCTAAGGGCAAGTTTTTCAAAAATGCTAATGGGAAGAAATTTAACAAGAAATTTAAATTCTCAAAAGGATTCAAGAAGACTAAGGGTAAACATTGCTTTAATTGTGGAAAACCAGGCTATACAAAATATAATTGCCCTGAATGCAAGAAGAATAAATCAAATAATGAAAAAGGAAAAACTGAAAAGAAAGACAGTGTGTGTGTAGTCTCTGAATCCTACTTTACTGATTCTGTTTTTTTCTAATTGGTGCATAGATTTTGGCTCCTCTAAGCATATTTGCAAAACTAAAGAGATGTTCCTGGAATTGAAGGAAATGAAGGCAGGAGAACACATAATTTTTATGGGAAACAACACCTACACTGATGTACTTGGAACCGGAAAAGTGAAGATCCCCATAAATGAGAACACAATTTTAATCCTTAATGATGTGTTCTATGCACCTAATTTTAGGAGAAACTTGAACCGGAAAAGTGAAGATCCCCATAAATGAGAACACAATTTTAATCCTTAATGATATGTTCTATGCACCTAATTGTAGGAGAAACTTGTTGTTTGTACCTTTGTTAGATGAGAAGGGTTTTGATGTACGTTTCATGGGAGGAAAAGTGACCCTAGGAAAGCATGGTAGAGTTTTAATGTTTGGAAATAAGTCTGATGGATTGTATCGTTTGACTATCAATAAAGTTGATGCTCTTTCTAGTTATGATTGTGCTTATCATGTGAATGAAAATGCATACATATGGCACATGAGACTTTGTCATATAAACAAATATAAAATGATGAGAATGAGTACCAATGGCTTAATTCCCAAAATAGAAATGAATTTCAATTATTGTGAACCATGCCTTAGTGGAAAAATGACTAGGCTCCCTTTTAAGAAAGAAAAGAAATTAGAGGAATTATTGACTATAATACACTCTGATGTCTGTGGCCCTTTGAACGTAAAAACACATAGGGGTATGGAATATTTTGTAACTTTTATAGATGATTTCTCCAGATTTGGTTTTGTGTATCTGATTAACGAAAATCAGAAGTCTTAGAAAAATTTAAAGAGTATAAAACACTTGTAGAAAACCAATTGGGTAGAAAAATAAAAACTCTTAGGAGTGATAGAGGTGGAGAATATATCTCTAAACTATTTAGTGACTTTTGTACACAAATGGAATCATACACCAATTAGCCATGTCCTTCACACCACAATAGAATGGAGTGGCTAAAAGGAGAAATAGGACTTTGTTGGATATGATGAGATCAATGTTATCTCACTCAAGTCTAGGAGCAAACTTTTGGGGAGAGGCCTTGGGTACTGTTGTGTATATCCTAAATAAGGTTCAAACTAAAGTTAATAGCTTAACACCCTATGAAATGTGGACTGGTAGAAAACCAGACTTGACTGACATCAAAATTTGGGGGGCTAGTGCCTATGTAAGAGTGCCAAATCAGCAAAGAAGCAAGTTACATAACAAGAGTCTAAGGTGTACCTTTATAGGGTATAGTGATAATAGCAAAGGGTATATGTTTGTTAATCATAAATCTGATGAAATAGTTGAATTAATAGAAAGCAGGGATGCTATTTTTCTAGAAGATCAAATTGAGGATAATAAACATTTACCTAGCTTATTTGAATTAAACAAAGAAATTATAGAAGTTGAGACTGCACCTGATAGACAAGCTTCACCTAATAATGACACCTTAGGTAGAATTCAAAGAGAAAGATTCCCTTCATCAAGGTTAAAAGACTATTATACCTACTTGAATGAAGAGTCTCTTGATGATCCAATTGACTTTGAAGATGCTATGGGTGCACCTGATAAAGAAAAGTGGTGTGAAGCTATACAAGAAGAGTTAGGCTCAATAAACAAAAATCAGGTTTAGGAATTAGTTGATTTACCTAAGAATAAGAAACCTATTGGGTGTAAATGGATATTAAAGAGAAAACTCAATGCTGATGGGTCTATAGAAAAATATAAGGCAAGATTAGTAGCAAAAGGATACACCCAAGTAGAAGGGATTGATTATGAAGAGACTTACTCTCCGGTTGCCAAGTTTACCTCTATTAGAATCCTAATGTCCTTAGTTGCTTTTTTGGACTTAGAGTTGTGCCAATTAGATGTCAAAACTGCTTTTCTAAATGGAAAGCTAAATGAAGAAATATACATGACTCAACCTAAAGGTTATGTAATAGAGGGACAAGAAAATAAAGTGTATAAATTAAAGAAATCATTATATGGTTTAAAACGGTCCTCTAGAATGTGGTACCATACCTTCCATGAAGCAATCTCTAAACTTGGATTTATACCTAATCCGTTTGATCATTGTGTTTATCTTTGAATAGTGGGAGCAATTTTGTTGTTCTTTCATTATATGTAGATGATATTCTTATTACTGGAAATGATGTGTCTATGATTAATGATACCAAAGATTGGTTAAAAACCAACTTTGAAATGAAGGACATGGGTGATGCAAGTTATGTACTTGGAATTAAAATAGAAAGAGATATGAACACTAAAACCTTAACTCTTTCACAAGAGCATTACTTGGAAAAAATCYTAAGRARATTCAATATGRMAGATTRTAATGGAGTTGAAACTCCAATTTGTAAAGGAACCAAATTAAGTAGGGATATGGCTCCCACTAATGAAGAAGAAATAGAGAAAATGAAGTATAGACCCTATGCTCAAGCTATTGGTAGTTTGATATATGCCATGCTTTGTACAAGGCCAAATATTTCGTATGTTGTAGGTCTTGTTAGTAGATACCAAAGTAACCCAGGTAAAATACATTGGAAAACTGTTAAAAGAATATTTAGATATTTGAAATTAACAAAACACTTGAAATTAACCTATCATGCAAACGATTTAGAGTTACTGGGTTATTGTGATGCAGATTTTTCAAGTGACCCGGATGATAGAAAATCCACAACCGGGTATTTATTCCTCTTAGGAGGAGGTGCTGTCTCATGGATAAGCAAGAAACAAAGCTATGTAGCCAAATTCACCATGGAAGCTGAGTTCATCTCTTGTAGCTCCGCGACATCTGAAACAGTTTCGATTAGGAGATTCTTAGAAGAACTCTGAATTCCTAATGTGCCAATATGAGTTGTGAAGATCTTCAATGACAACCAAGCTGCCATTAAGACAATTAAAAATGGTGAGGTCGGCCCTAAAGGGAAACACATAGATCTCCATTATGGTATTTATATGATGTCTACCAACGGAATGAGATCTTGGTAGAATATGTGCCTACAAAAGATATGATTGCTGACCCTTTGACTAAACCCATTGCAATTACAGATTATGTAAGGCACATTAAAGTGATGGGGTTGGTCGGCATCTATTCATCTCGGGCCTAACTGGCCAAGTGGGAGATGATAGTAGAGTGGCCATAGGCCCTCGTTTAATCCTCAACATGTTGGAATATCCAATGGCCATGTGACAAGCCACATGTTGATGGTTGATGGTTGATGGTTGATGGTTATCTCCATGCAACACTCTCACACACAATCATTCATTTTAAATAATTACCTGTTTATTTATTTTCTATAAAAACAAATTTATTTGATTTCTTATTTAAAAATATTTTCATGCATGGAGATACCAATGTTGTTGGATTATTTGGATCCATATTCCAGCTCTTATTGGGCCAATGGATATCCATTTGACCCGGTGTAGACTGGATGACCAAGTGGTTATATCCTTGGTCAACATGAGACACTTGTCTCAAATCTGATGGAGCATGAATTCTAATGTTAAGGAAGACTTATCTCAATTGGTTATTCTGGTAACCGTTTGTTCCTAATATCAAGGAACTTAACATTGGAGAAGCAACTATATAAGGGATCACTCCCAAGTGCTTCAACAACACAATGAGATAAGTTCTTTACTGAGAAAGGAAAAATATTCTCTCAGCCTCAGCTCTGATCAGATAAAGCAGTTCTCTCTTACACCTTGCTTGAGAGGTTGGTGTCTCGGATCCTATACTGTGCAACTGCTATTATTCTCTTTGCATGCAGGTTTGACACAGAGATCTCAGCCGTTCACTTCTGCATATACTTGGAGCATCAATACATTTGAAGCATCATAATTGATTGACATATGTTATACCTAATTTGGATCGACTCCCCACAGAACACACACCCACACACGTCTCACAGCACATCTCAGCATGAATTCACATCCATGCCCCATAGAACATGCCCCCACATGCACATTTCAGCATGCATTAGAAACATCTTTCATATTGTCATTGGGAAATGTTTTCAATACACGATTGAGATGTATTTGCTATGGGGTGCTTGGGGGGCATAAATGTAAATTCCTTGAACATGCATTAGGATATCTCCTATATTTGTCTTGGGAAGATGTTTCCAATGCATGGATGGAGTATACTACAGAGCACACTTTGTAGGGAGCCAATGCCATCATGTTATCTTCATCTAACCGTTAATCGAGTTAAGGTGGTTGAGTTGGTATTCAACATAATTTATCCTATTGCCATTGTTAAATGATAAATTAAGAATTGCGTATAAGTGATCTCACCAAATGAATACCAAACAAGGTTTATGTTTTTATCTTCCCGTGGCTAAATACACGAATATTGCATTTTTTTTTTAAATTCAAAACTTTGGTATATAGGTGTGGCCACATCAAACCCTTGATCATTAATCCACTTTTGCTATGATATGGTTCTTAAAATCGAGTTCACATCAGCGCTTGAGATCGGCTTCAGTCACTGCAAGGCCCGTTCAAATATTATTCGAACAGCTTTTTCAGTCTTGCATCAGAAATATCTCTATACTTTTATGTTTTATTTCATGGGAAAATATTCCCGATGCAAGGTTATAATAATTGTTTGAATGGGCCTTGCAGTGACTGAATCCCATCTCTCAGTGCCCCACAATGAAGTGCCTATCAATGGAAGACATTCCCAATACAAAGTCGAATTGTGCGATATTGTGGGGCGCTGATGTCAATTCCCTAAAATCATTTAAAGAGTAAGGATTTGTTCCCTACAAAATATGTTCCAACTAGCTTCCAAACGGATCTTATATTGCACGTACATCCTATACATGTCAAGTTGGATTCTCACCGTAAGATGTACGGTATCAGATCATATTGGAAGCAGGTTGAAACGTATTTTGTGGGAAGCAGATTTGAAGAGCAGATCACGGCTCAGATTCGAACTCCCATCTTGAATTAAAAGAGGAGACGTTAAGGTGGGGTCAGAGCAAAGTAATCTGATGTATTGTTGTGGCCCCACCTTTGAATATAAGACGAGGCCCTGATTCACGGTTTTAGCCAGGAGCTAGAAACCTAAAACCGTGGCAGAAACAGAGAGACAATAACCACAATTTCTTGTACAAAAATGAATAAAAAAGTAACCTTTCGATATTGATAACCATAAATTCATTTTTATTTTGATTAAAAATAATCAATATTTCAAGAAAATAAAACATGCCTAAACCCAAATAACTCTCCTACTTTTTTTTTTTTGTTAGGTTCCTAGTTATTTATTATTTTATTTAACTAATACATTGTTGATAGCGTTGAGTGATGGGCTGGGTCATGTGAGATAGAATGGGCTTCAACAGGCCTAAACATGGGCTTGGGCCCTGTGTTTGAGGATCTTCTTCTCCAGTTCATCTTTCTTGGCACCTACAACCTTGTCAACTTCTTTCCCCTGTTTAATCAGTATGAAGGTTGGCATGGCGTGCACCCCAAATTCATCCGATACCTCCTGATGATCAGAATTCAAAACAATTAAGAAAAACCCCAGAATCAGATTCATCCATGATCCATCCATTCAACGCTCAGATTCACCACCGAAAAATTCAATAAAGTAGAAAAGGAGAGGGGAAATAGTGAGAGAATACCATTAATTCATCGACATCGATCTTGACAAACTCCACGTTGCCTGTGTATTTGGCAGCGAACTTGTCGAGTGCTGGCTCCATGGATCGACAAGGTCCGCACCACGATGCCGTAAAATAGATCACCATCTTCGGTTGGGAGGAAAAAGAAAATATGAGATGATCCCTAATTATCAGGCTTAAATTTAATTTATATACATAAAAAAAAAATAAATAGCTGGGAGAGAACCGTGTTTTACTGTTTTCTGTTTAGGTAATTTAATTACCAGTTTAGTGGAATTTTTGCAGGAGTCGAAGTGAGCTTTCCATCGGATTGTGGAATGGAATGCAACGATGCAAGACGCCTTCGATGGACCATTGGCGGCAGAGAACACATCTTGCACGTCAAATTGAGATAAACCCATCTTTTGATCAATCGATCTCTCTTTCTTCCTTTCTTCACAAAATGTTGACCCACCTCCCTTCCTTCTCCCTGATTCTTCTCTAAATTCAAATTCCGAAGTCGTCAGAGGCTCAGCGCCAAGCAGACGATCGCAAGTAAGATACTACCGAGATCGACTGAAGAACGCTTGCTGGTGTTCATTGGGAGGGATGAACCCTTTTTATAGGCGCGAATGTGAGTGCTCCAGTGGAGATGTCCTTTAATTGATTGATGAAAATTCAAAGAAAACTTGAAGAACAAAGAATCAAACCGGGGACCAGGCCCCCGCCGACTGACAAGCATTTGATGTGGACGCTGCTTTTCTTTTCTTTTTTTTTTTCTTTTTAAATTTGAGAAGAAGGGAGAGCGGAGAGGGAGATTGATTTTGGATTGGTAGCATAAATGCTTGCTTTGTTCGATTAAATTTAAAGCTTAGTGCTTAATGGATTCTTCATTAACACCGAATTAGAATTGTAAAATGTAAATTTTAATTAGGGAAAATTCCATTTTGTATTCTAAACTTTGGGGGATAGTGTCAAATTAGTAAAAAACGTTGACCGAAGTTAAATATTATATAAAAGGACAAAAATACTCTTTACTTATCATCTAATTTTCTTCTAATTCGTATAAAATCTCTGACCATCCTCTCCATTTCAGCGATTCTATAATTACAATTATTGAGTCCTGGGTCGTCATCGCGGATGGCACCTCCGAATTTGAGGACGAGGGAGAACAAAAATAAATAAATAAAGATTAGGCAACAAAAATCAAAGCCAAAAAGGCATGCGCAACAGAATGGTAGAGAAGCAGAGAATAAAGCTATTCTATTTGTTTTTTGTTATTTGCTTGCTACTTTTCTTTATTTTTTACATGATTGTTCTGATAATAGAGAAAAAAAGAAAGAAACCAGAGAGCTCCGATCAGGTTTATCTATTTTCCCATCACCCCAAAACAATAAATTAAACCAGACTTGGATATAAATTTCTTTATGAAGGTAAAAAAAATGACAGAAACAGAACATGCAATGATATGGCTGCTCTGGTTCCCTTCAACAAAAACGTGTTCGTGGGTCAAGTGTTGATGGGTCCGATTGTTCGCGCACCGGTGTTCATGAGTTTGAATTTATCAATTCACGTAATTTATTCTCTCATCAAGTCAATCCAATTGTAGTTCAGTGTTATTATGGTTCAGTTTTAAGTAAAAGATAATGAACAGTCTTTTATTTTCAAATGATAAAATAACACATTTGAAAGTTCAAATAATAACTGGATACTACCTCAAAATTTAAGGTATTAAAATGAAAATTTCCGTTTTAATTAATATAAATAAATCTATTAATTGAATCCCATGCATAAAAGAAGAAAAGAATCTTAGTTGCTCACTCAGACCTTTGGCTTTGGCCATTTGTCTCTCGCCCACACAGTCACAGTCGCACTTGGGTTGAGTTTTTATTCTTCCCGTCACGTCAGAAGTGCGTACGTCCACAAACGTCTATATGCGGAGTTTGCCGTGTACAATCAAAGCCCCTTTCTAGCTGGGTTATTTGCAGTACAGCTTCAACTTGAAAGGTAAAGAAGCAAACCAACCGACCAACCCATGCCAATTGTTTTTTTTAAAAGCGTCATATTCTTGCATTTGAAATTTTCAAATGTTATATATATTTTACTTGCACTTTTGTTACGGTATGGTTTGTATGCGCACAATCAGGGATGACAATTTTTTCTGTCCCCACTAGATACCCGGCTTGGATGGAGACTGCCTTGACTGGGATGGGGATAGTGACAGGTACCCTAATTATTTGTTGGGTTAAATTGCTGAAAACTCTTTTAAAGTTTGATATATATACACACACTAAAACACAGTATTGAAGAAAATTTTTCATTTTTTTATTTTTTAATCTATCATTTTTGAAACAACCAATGTGATGCTCTTTCTTCCCATAAAAATTCTCTCTCTCTCTCTCTCTCTCTCTCTCTCTTTCTCTCTCTCGTTCCCAATAACCTAAATAATATCATCTTCTAAAATTTCTCTTAAACTATCTCTCTCACTACACTCCACTTTCTCTTAAATTATCTCCAATTCCTATTTACCTCTCCTCCACTTTTTATCTATATCTACCAAAATTATATAATAACATTAAAATATTTACTAAAAACACAAAAAATAATTATAATAGATTTCATAATTATCATATTACTAATAATCTTATATTTTTACATTTTATCTATATCTATCTAAAGAAAGTTTGAATTAAAAAATTTAAAAGTAATTTAAATATTCTAACAAAATAATATAATAACCTTAAAATATTTATTAAAAGCACAAAAAATAATTATAATAGATTTAATAAAATTAAAGTTATTAATAATTTTATATTTTTACAAAATTCATCAAGAAATTGTTAATAATAGTAAAATTATGTACTAACAACATAAATTATGATTTTCTGGATTATTCAATTTAAATGGTATTCAGATAATAAAAATTTAAATATTAAAATAACAAAAAATTTAAATATTTTACATATTGTTTAAATTTTAAAATACATAAATATTTCAAATAACGAAATATTTGACATAACTAGATTTTAAATATTTAAAATAACAAAATTATTCAATAAATTTTAAAAATTTCTTAAAAGTAGAAAATTAATTATAACATAATATTCAAATTAAAAATAATTTAATATTTTACAAACTTAATAACGAAATTATTTTATAATAGTACAAATTATAACTTTATGGGTTATTAAATTCAACAAATAATTAATATTTTAAAATTTAAATAATATTATTTAAATAACTAAATAATATTGTAAATAAATAATTTCACTTATATCAATTATTAATTCTAGAAAATAATTGTCAAAAAATTAATATATATTATTAATAATTTTAAAATCTTAATCTATATTTATATATATATTAAAATTAATATTTATTATATTTTTAGTAATTATTATTATTATTTTTTGTGATAAATATATTTTTAATAATTATTGAAAATTAAATTATTATCATTTATTAGAAATTAGACTATTAATTTAGCTAAAATTGGGAGTGTTCACAAGTTGGTTCAGTTTGGTTGTAGGCTGTGTGGCAAACCAAATCGATTTGGTCAAGTTGGGGAGTTGGTCACCCAAAACTAACTTACCATTAGTGAAAATGGGCCAACTAAGGTTGTATCGGTTTAGGTCAATTTTCAATTTGTTGATCGGTTCAATGATACTTGAAACTTCACAATTTGATCTGAATATCACATATTTGGATGAGGTGTTTATGTTATCAGATTTGAATTTTGCAATGCATATCTGATTAATAATAAAAAACAAAAAAAGTAACAATAAAAAATAAAAAATACATAAAGTTTATTGAAATTTTGGATATATTATTACTATGATTATCATCATCTAGAATTGACACGTGCAAATCAGTTACTTCTTTGTTTGAGAAAGGGTATAAAAGTCATTTTATTATAGCTCTAATGCCAGATTTAATGGCTACTAAAATGTCTATACTTTTGTATTTATCTATTTCTAATTGTAAGGGTTGAAAATGTAATTTCAATTATTACTTAAGGTATTAAATCCCGTTTTCTCTTATTAAATCATATATTTTTAAGTTATTTTTCACTAATAAATGCTACTAATTAGATTTATGTCAATGCTTTTAACAATATAAACTCATATATTTTAAAATTGACTCAAAAACAAAACCATTTCTTATCCAAGTGGTGGCTAAGCAATTCAACAATCTGAATCGAATTGATCAACTTACGAAGTCATAGTTAGGTAATATTTTTTTTAAAATATAAAGAATATAGAATATTACAAAAAAAGTAGACACATTTATGATATTTTTATTAATTAAATTAAAAAATAAGTATAATAAACAAGAATTATTCTTATTGATAATGAAAATGAAATACATAATTTAGGACTAACCAACAATGAAATATAAAAATTAATAATAAATAGTTTAACTTTTGGTTTAAATGTGTGAACCTTTAATGTCATAAATAAATAATAAAAATAAAATATAAAAATACATAAATTTTGCCAAAAAAACATTCAAGCACATGTATAATATCATATATTTATCATATTAAATAAAAAGTGAGTGTGCTATATTAGAATTATTTTTACACAGAAAAATAAAAAAAAAATGTAGAAAAAATTGAGTACATCTATAATTCTATATTTACACTACTATTAAAAATATGAATAAAATTGTGGAAATTTATTTTGACTAAAATACTCATTTTTAAATTTAGTTCCTATTTAAATGTAATGTTTAAATTGTAAATTGAACTACTACTTTTCACCTCATTCAATTCCCTCTATTTAAATCTTACACCAAAAAGAAAAAACATTGCAAAAAGAAAAGTCTAGCAAAGCATGTAGGCCTGTCAATGATACTTGAAACTTCACAAATCAATCCAATTATCACATATTTGGATGAGGTGTTTATGTAATTAGATTTTGATTTGGTTTGATTAACAATAAAAATATAAAAACGAAAAATAAAAAATACATAAATTTTATAGAAAAATTTGAATACATTGTTACTATCATTATCATCATCTAGAATTGCCATGTGCATTGCTTACTAATTCTCTAAAAAGGACACATGAAAATGTTAAAAATACTCATACAATTACTTTGACCAATTTTTCTCTTTATATGAATCTATAACCTAAACCTTTTCAATCTCTTTTCTGAAATTAATTTATTTTCCAAATTTTCTCTTCATATCAAGTAGAGCTATAACTTGATTCTCTTTTTTTATTGTTTATAAAGTTTGTATTTTTTTTCTGTAGAAACTAGCCTGATAATTGCATGAATGTTTTGGACATTTTCATGTCTCATGGTGGTGGATTATAACAAAGAGGATCTACTTGCAACTATGTTAGAAAGTTCAAGGGAGGTGATTGCAATTGCCAAACTAGGGGGGTTTAGCAATAGTCTAAAATTTCAGAAATTACCTTTCTTTATATTTTAAAAATTTTCCTTATTTAAAATAAATCTTTTCCCATAAAAACTTCTAATAAAAAAAACTCAGGAATTCAGGTCCTTGGGAAACTTGTCTTCATCAGGAATTGAAAATGGAAGAAAACTTTTCTCCCCTTTGGGACTAGGGACTAACTTAAAAGTTGGGGTCAGGATAGGGAGTATGGTCCTTGC